CGTGGCACTATCGGGAGCCCCACCCAACGTCCAAATGGCGCCGTCCGCATGGCGGCCCCGCCACATTTTGGTACCCCTCGCGCGCTTCGTGGCACCATGGGAAGCTCCATCCAAGGTTTCGATGGCGCCGCCCCCATGGCGGCACAGCCCCATTTCAGCACGCCCCCCCACACGCTTCGTGACCCCATGGGGACCTCCACCTGGGGTCGCAATGCCCACTGGCGCCGTCCGCATGGTGGCGACTCCACGGGCGGCCCCAATGGCTGCGTTCGCATGTGCCCACCGCACATATTTCGGAAGACCCCTGCATGCACTTCGTGGCCCCATCGGGAATTCCACCGACGGCCCCAATGGGCCCCAACAGTTGCTTTCGCATGCGCCCAACGCGCAATTTTGGCACACCCGTCACAAGCTTCGTGGCCCTACAAGGAGGTCCTTCGAATGCGTTCCGCGCAGCGATGGCACTCACAACTGCACATGGCGCGGTCCTTCGCCATGCTAATAATACTGCGCCCGCCCGCTCGGCATCGGCATCGCCCCCCACCGCGGTCATCTCACGGCCCCGTTGCGCGGCCCCTCACATGTTGCACCCCGTTGGTTCTGGGAGAATGGCGGTCGACATTCCAGCGCGCGCATGCGGGTGACGTAAGGCAGTGCGTCGACCCCTCGCGACTGCGAGATAGGAACCAGGTTCTATGACACAGCGGGCGCGTGCATTCCCATCGCCAAATACGTTGCCATTTGCTAGAGCATGCTTGCATCGTACGTTTGGTGTGGTTCGCGCGTGTGCGTTGTGTAATGTTTTACGTATCGTGGTACACCGCACGTGCATAGTAAATATTGGTGCCATATAGGTGGCCGTCTGCAACGTATCACGTTATGTGTCTCATAATACAGTGTGCCGTGGCATGGTTTGTCCCTGGCGTCAGAGCGTGCTTCTGGGAACGAATGTTGTGTCCATCGTGGGCCAAGCGCGTCCATCCATGCTGCACCATAGGGCACCGCCCACTCTGGGCAGACAGTGACAATGATTTTTCCGCCCCAATCCCTATGCCCCCAGCCCTCAATTTCAGAGGACCCCTCATGTGGTCCATCCAATGCCCAGGGGCCAGACCCGTTGTTGCTCATTGTTCCCATCTGGAGGTTTTCTCGTCGCCGCGCCTCCATCTGCCCATAGAGGTGTTGCTCCGTGGATCAGTCTGTCGCTGCCGCTCGAATGTTCCAGGGACCTTCAGCTTCGGAAGCTCTTTCTTCGTTCAGCGTTTCATTCCGCTGCCATGTTGACCCAAACCAGTTTCAGAGGAGCAGGGCCAACAGTTCCCCCGCGGCGAGTGCAAGCAGCAACCTCAGCCCAGCTCGAGAGGACGACTGCCCTGCGCCCCGCCATGTCCAGGAGAACCTCAGGGGGTTCTAAGAGGAAGGCCTCTAAGCAGACGGATGAGCTCCTGGAGGGGGCGAGTGCCCTGAGCGACGCGCAGACGGCGGCTTCTTCGGGCGGGAAGGTTGTGAAGCAGACTCGTACCAGGGCGGAGGAGCTTGACATGCAGGCTGCATCGAGTATCAGACCCTCGCCTCCCATGACGGCCGCCGTCCAGACGATCAGTAACATGAGCAACGCTGACGCCTCCAAGAACTTGTGCCAGTGGGGCATGTGCAAGTTCACTGGGGACAGTCGGTATGCAAAAAGGCAGGATAGTTGTCCCAACAATCCTGTGGTGTTGGATCCTCGTTTTGGAGAGGCAGCCCCGCGTCCCACTCCCCCATTCCTCCCTCCTCCCACTACCCCTTCTCCACCATCATCATCATCATCATCACAATCAGCACCATCACCATCACCATCAGCAGCAACACCATCATCATCAGCATCGCCATCATCATCACCATCAACACCAGCAACAACAACACAACCATCACCACCATCTTCATCATCATTGTCGGAATCACCATCATCATCATAGTCATTGGCATCCTCATCTTCACCAACATCAGCATCATCAACAATGTCACCATCATCAACCGTCATCGTCACCGTCATCGCACTCGTCGCCATCAGCATCATCATCATCACCACGAACATCCTCATCATCATGAACATCAGCAACATCAACATGGCCAGCATCATCACCAACATCGTCATCATCATCACCATCACCCTCATCCTTATCCTCGCTGTTACCGTCACCCTCATCGGCATTCATTGTGGCACACTCGTCACACGCCTCTTGGCCATACTGGGAGCTCCACCTGAAGCCATAGTGACGCCGTCCGCATGGCGCCGCCGCCCATTTTGGCACACTTTTCAAACGCTTCGTGGCCCCATGAGGGGCTCCACCTGAGGTCCCAATGGCACCATCTGCATGGCGGCGCCGCCCAATCTCGGCACACCCCTCACACGTTTCGTGGCCCCACAAGGCACAAGAAGTCAACCCGCTGGCCCGATGGCGCCGTCCGCGCGGCGGCGTCGCCCAATTTTGGCACGCGTTTCGCGGCCCCATATGGATCTCCGCCCAAGGTCCCATTGGCGCCGCCCGCACGGCGGCGCCACCCCATGTCGGCATACCCCTCACGCGCTGCGTGGCTCCATAAAGAGGGCGCCACCTTAGATCACACTGGCGCCTTCCGCACGGTGGCGCCGCCCCATGTCGGCACGCCCCTCGCGCGCTTCGTGGCCCCATGGGAGCTCCGCCGAAGGTCACAATGGCGCCGTCCGAATGGCGCCGCCGCCCCATGTCGGCACATCCCTCACGCGTTTCGTGGCTAGGGCCAGGGGGCCCCACCCAATGTTCCAGGGGCGCCGTCCGCATGTTGGCGCCGTCCCATTTCGGCACACCCCTCACACGTTTCGCGGCCCCATAAGAAGCTCCACCAAAAGTTCAGATGGTGTTACCCGCATGGCGGCGCCATCCTATTTTGGCACACCGCTCACACGTTTCGTGGCCACATGGGGGGCTCCACCTAAGATCCCAGCGGCGCCGTCCACGTGGCGGCGCCGCCACATTTCGGCACACCCCTCACGCGTTTCGTGGCCCTGTATGGTGGCTTCACCCACGGTCCCACTGGCGCCGTCCGCATGGCGGCGCCGCCCAATTTCGGCACACCCCTCACACGTTTCGTGGCCCGATTGGGGTCTCCAGCGAGTGTCGCAGTGGCGTCGCCCGCATGGCGGCAGCGCCACATCTCGGCACATCCCTCACGCGTTTCAATGTCACATAAAGGGCTCTACCTAAGGTCACAATGGCGCCGCCCGCATGGCGGCGCCGCCCCATTTCGGCACACCCCTCACACGTTTCGTGGCTAGCATAGGGAGCCCCACCTAAGGCCTAAGGTCACAGTGGCGCCGCCCGCATGGCGGCGCCGCCCCATGTCGGCACAGCCCTCGCACGCTTCGTGGCCCGATAAGGGGTCTCCGACCAATGTCACAGTGGCGCCGTCCGCATGGCGGCGCCGTTCCATTTCGGCACGCCCCTCGCACGTCTCGTGGCCACATAGGGAGCTCCACCTGAGCTCCCAATAGCGCCGTCCGCATGGCGGCGCCGCCCAATTTCAGCCCTCCCTCACGCGTTTCGCGGCCCCATGGGGGGCTCCACCTGGGGTCCCAATGGCGCCGTCCGCATGGTGTCTACTCCACTGACGGCCCCAGTGGCTACGTGCGCATGCGCCCACCGCACCTTTTTCGGCGGACCCCTCACACGCTGCGTGGCCCCATAGGGAATTCTACCAACGGCCCCAGTGGCTGCTTTCGCATGCATCCACCGCGCAACTTTTTGGCACACCCCTTCACACGTTTGCACTATATGGGGCTCCTCCGAATGCGTTGCACGCAACGATGGTAACATTTGCATATGGTTGGGTCCTTCGCCAGGCTAATTGAGACGGTGAGTTGGAACGTGGGCTGGGCCAGTGGCGCGGGATTTGGTTTTTCGAGAAGGGGGTCGTTTCCCGAACAAAGAGCTACGAACGTTTAGACATAGCTCGCATATTTTCCTGTGGCCGAAAACGTCACCGCATGTCGGGAGCTCACAGAGTAAGATGCCCCCCCCCCCCCCCCACACACCCCACCCACCCTCAGACCACACTCCACCTCGGGGGCACAGAAAAGTGTGTTTCGCAAAGTAACTAACAGAAACATCGGCTTTGCATTTGGATGTTCGTTCGTTGTCTGTGTGGGCCATCTCTTCGATGGCTGCGGTCGGACGTGCTTGCAATTACTCTCAGAATACGTGCCCATCAGAATTCGCTGAGTTTCGGCATCGGGGGGGGGATCCATTGCTTCGCGTTCGCAGGGGTACTTGAGATGTGTGTTCTCGGCCACCAGTTGTAGCGCACGGGATTCAGCATACATGTTTGCAACGGTTGGTGCCAGAACGCGTTGCACATTCTCGTGCAAGGCGTGCTCTCGGCCATCTGTGGTAGCCTTCCGCATTCAGAACATATTGTTTTGCCACGAGTAGCACCGAAACGCGTTGGCAGATTCGCGCGAGATGCGTCCGCATCCGTTTTGAGGTTCGAAGTTTTATTCCCCCCCCCCCCTGGGAGTAAAGTTTTACATCCGCCCTCCCCTTTTGTGGGGAACCCCTCTTGGGTTCAGAGCAAGCACTGGTCGGGGATCTGCAAACGCGCGCCCCCATAAATGGACCCCAACACAGTACTTCGACTGAGACCCTAGGCCATGTGCACTACGACATAAAGCCCCTAAGATACGCATTCTCGTAGTCTGGATCTCACAGAGGCACATCGAGCCTGAGACCCTGAGGTCTTAATTCTCGAACGGCCCCGAACCTTTCCGATCTGACAGGAGGGGGCCCTAGACTCTTAGACCCAAGTTCCGTGACCTTCCATCCCTGGGGAGTCTTCCTTCCAGGGGATGCGGTGCCATTCTGTCCAGGGGGATGATATCGTGGGTCTGATGATCGGTGGGGTGGCCAAACATGGCGTATTGTGTCGGCTTCTCCACAGGAGAATCCTGGCCACGTCGTGTTCGACCCCGCTGCAATGAAGAGGGTCATGATCTGCCAACGCCACCTGGGCATCTACCAGAAGGGCTGCCCGCAGAACGGCATCAGTGACGCGTGCGAGCGCATGAAGGAGCCTGAGCAGCGGGCCAAGATGGACCAGGTCGAGCGCAACGGCAACTTGCGTGGCACCGATGCGAGGCCGTGGGGCTTACCACAGAGCGTCGGGCATGTCGCCCAGTGGGGTTGCAGAGCGCATCGTCTGGCGACTGCCGTGAACAAGGATGCGTGGGAGAAGGTCCACGGGAAGAAGATGACGCAGCGGTTTCCCAAGCCCGAGCACCCGACGATGATGGCCATGAAGGAGGACGGCAGCATGGAGTTCGAGAAGGTGTGGCTCTACAGGCCTGTGCCGTGGAGCGGTTTCAGGATGGTTGAAGTCGGCGCAGGCCTCGCGACGGAGATCAACACGCCCATGATGCCGTCGGACCGTCACTACTACGAGGACCAGGCGAAGGATGTGGCCGCGGACACGGCCAAGAAGGAGATGTCGCGCCTCAAGGTTCCTTGGGAGAGCTTCGCCGATGGCATGAACTCCCTCCCAGCGAGCTTGTTCGATGCGCATGGTGAGCCGAAGCTCCACCCGCTAGGTTTCACCATGGGCGAGTGGGGCAGCAACGAGGTGGTGGCCACGGGCGCGCCCATGCCTTTTACGCCAGGGGCCATGAGGATGAAGATGCGTGGGGAAGCGTCGTCGGCTGCAGATACTCCGATGACGCCAGCGGCGCGCGACGGCAACCTGGATGCGATGGAGAGGCTCGCTGCCTCGCTTGGACAGCCTTGCTCGAGTGGCGCGTTGCCTCGCGAGCGCGAGGGGGGCCCTGGCGACATCATGATGGCAGGGACGTTGGACGACGTCGGCATGGACGATGTCGCAAGCACCCCGAGGCAGACGGCAACATTCAACCTTGACGAGCCTGTGACATGCAGCAAGAGGGACGACGCCGAGAGCATGATCAGTTTGGGCTCCGCTGCGTTAGGCGGCAAAGTCGACGCCCAGAAGTACATAGACGTCCTGGACTTGGAAGTCGCCCAGCAATCGCCGAAGCTGGGTAATCTGCACCACCACGCCACCAACTACTCCCAGCGGGTCGGCGACGACAAGACCAAAGATGCGAACATAAAGGAGCTCAAGAACAGATTGGAACTCTTCGGGCACGCTCAGAGATTCAACAGTCGACATGAGGGGTCTTACACCTACGACGCGCTGGCGGCGTCATACGATACTTTGGTTTCTGCTCAGGTCCGCATGCTCCCCGTGGCCAACGCCGTCATCTGGAAGAAGAAGGTTGATATGATGTTGCAGGCTGATGTCACAAAGGAGTCTGCTTCTGCGATGTGCAGGGCTTGCGCTCCGATCCCGCTCCCTGCTTCCATGGACGAGGCCTTCGACGTTCGGGCCCCGTGCCTATCCCGATTGTCGGCCGTCGACGAGTGGTGCAAGATCCAGAGGTTTTATTTGTATTTCTGCGAGTCCTGGTTCCTGCCGAAGCTGGAGTCGGGCTGCCACGAGGAGATCATTAGCAGCATCATCGTGGACATGAGACAGTACATCACACGAGTGCTGGAATCGTGCCATATCGGCGAGGTCACCGTGAAGTTCTTCTTGGAGCTCAACCGCCTGCTGCGGGGCACCCAGGATTGCATGAACATCGAGGCGATCTTCGACAGCGGGGAGTTCGAGGAGAGATGCAAGGGCGTCCTGCTGCTCGCCGAGACACGGTGCTCAGAGAAGTTGCGGAAGACCTTCGCCCTGGCAATCCAGAGCCATGAGAAGTACAGCAGGGTTGACAGAGATCCACATGTACGTCAAATCGCTGGATGGCGTCATCTCGGACGTCGATGAGTTGGTGGAAGAGCTGAGGGAAGAGATCGTCCTCGAGGGCGATGGCGAGGCTGCGTTCAACCTCTCAGACCAGATGAATAGCTTGAAGTCGAAGCTGGTTAACGCTGCCAAGATCATGGGGAGGTTGGAACCGTCGAGCCGAATGCACGGGACTATCATGAATCGCATCGTCAGCAAGTGCTTGAAGTATGTATCGGTGATCAATGCCACGCCATCGCCGCTGGAAGGTGAGGCCGCATCCGCCTTGGACATGATGTGCGAAGCTGCCGTCCAGTTCCCCTTCAACCCGGAGCTCAACACCGTCCTCGCCGAGCTCCAGGCCGCGACCGTAGCGGCGAGCGAGGCCGAGAGCACCGAGCTGTTCACCGCTATCGTCACGGAGGTGCAGGCAGAGTGCGAGAAGGAGTCCGCAGAGTTGACGGTGGAGCTCGTTCAGAGGCTTCATGATTGCGCAGAGAAGCTGAGTGACAACAATCGCCAGCCTTCCGAGCTCGAAGCTGTTTGCACACTCGTATCCTCCATGGTTCACGCCACGGCGAAGGACGAGTTGAAGCAGGATGTCTGCGACGCCATCGTGCACGCGATCGGGGTGCTCAAGAACGTGTTTGCTTACCAGCTTGCGGGGAGCTCTGCGTCGAGCAATTTGCTTCTCGTCGTCGGCAGTGCGCTCACGTCAGTCTCGAACCTGGCCCGTGCTTGCGAAGCAGTGGAGACGTACTTCAAGTGGGACGGGCGGGATGCCGAGCCAGACTTGACGGCCATCGCTCGTGGAGATCACCAGTCCAGGTCAATCACCCACGAGTTCAACGCTGCGAGGGTTAAGTGGGACGGCCTCGTGAACAAAGACATCACTTCGTCGGAGCACCGTGATCACCCAGGTATCCAGGCGCTCGTCTCCGCCGCGTCCAAGCTCAAGAAGGTGACGGGCATCAAGCTCGAGAGCGTGGGCGAGAAGATCAAGCGAATCAAGCAGGATGAGCTGACGGAGATTCTCCAGTCCTTGACGCGCAACTGCGGCGGGCTACCCGACGCGGAGTGGGAGCGCGGGTTCAAAGGAAAGTCCTTCAAGATGCTGCAGGAGCATTGCGACAAGACCCTCCTGGGAGAGAACTCGACGGCGGGCGGGCTGAAGAAGGAGTGGACGGCGCTCGAGAAGGATTTGAATGCTGGGGTGTCAAGTTTTTTCGAGGTCCGATGGGCCCAAAGTCTTCCATGGGCTCGAGCGTGTTTGATTAAGCGAGTCTTGAATGGTCCCTGCCGCGCTGGACCTTCTCAGGGTCTGTGTATTCACTCGGGGCACTCCTGGGGCTCCGAGGGTTGGTCCCGTGGGGAGGTTCGCTACAGTTTAGGGGGGCAGTCAGGGGAGCGGAAGGCGTCAGCCTCGACCTATAAAAGCCATGGTGGGAGTTATGGGCCAATGTTGGCTTGCATATGTTTGTGACAACAGGTGCGTTACCGATCGCACTGGTCCCTCGAGAAATCGATGTTAGCCAGCGTGGACCCCAACCAATATGCCCGTTCCCTTGCAGTCTATGCGGTGTCATCGATGTGGTGCAATGTATGCGATGCAACCTATGTGATGCAGCGTATGCCGTTCAACATATGCAATGCAATCTATGTGGTGCAATATGGGTGGTGCAACCTATATAATGCAATGTATGCGGTCCAATCTATGTGGTGCCACTTGCGCGCGGCAATCTATGTCGTGCAATATAGGCGGTCTAATAGATGTGGTGTAATCTATGTGGTGCAACCTATGCGGTGCAATTTGCGCGCGGCAACCTGTGTAATGCAATACCTGCTGCGCAATATGTGTGGTGCAACCTAGGTGGTGCAATATACGCGGCAACGACGGCGGCGACGAACGGCACCGCCCGCACACGCCGCCTCTCGCCCTGAACGGCGGCGACGGCGACGGCGACGGCGACGGCGGCGACGGGCGGCGCCGCCCGCAAAAACCGCCAATCGCCCCAAACGGCGGAGGCAACGACGGCGACCGCTATGGAGGCGACGGGCGGCACCGCCCGCAAAAGCCGCTAGTCACCCCGAGATGGTTAAGCCAAGTAAGCACCCCAGGTGCAAGCACTGGTTCGGGAATGGTGGTAGTGCAGCACGGCGTGCGATGATATCGCTTGAAATGCTGCGCAATGCAATCGCACGCAACCCTGGTGCGCCAAGCTGTGCTATTCATGGCTATGCGATGCGGGTATGCTACACTATGCAGTAGCGTGCTACGCGGCACTGTGGTTTTTGGATCGGCACGGCCATTTGATGTTTGTGTCAACGTAATGCAACGCATGCGTTCAGATTGCCATTGCTGTTGTTATGCCTTGCGATGCTATGCTCTGGGACGCTGTTTCACAACACAGCGCAGCATGGCACATCCCGCCATGACATTGCATCGCATAGCACAGTACATCATCCAGCGTGCACCTAGGAGTTTGCTGCCCTGAACGTCCAGTTGAAGGCCTACGGCGTTCCAGGGGTCTCGCGGTCACAGGAGGAGGCCGACGCTATCAAGAAGGCGAAGGTCACGCACACGAGCTGGATGAGAATGAACACATACAAGAAGGTCAAGGACCCGTCGGCGATGACCGTCACAGTGGCGAAGGTGTATATGGAGTTCGCGCCCAACCTCGGCGGGAAGCTGAATCAGCTCCACGACGGCATCCAGAAGAAGATCGGCCCGCTGGTTTCGGCCTCGTAGGCAGCCCCCTGTGCGCCACCGCCCAGCCTCTCAAGCTCGCTGTTTCTTTTGTTTGCTAGCTGGCATCGGCGCCCCAAGCTCGCTGGTGTCGGCGCCTCAGGGCCGTCTGCCCGCCAATGCCCCGCGGCCTCGCTCTCCCAGGGGGGGTGCCACCAGGACAGAGAGAAACAGCACATCCCCAAAGCAAACGCACCCCCAGGAGCCCCGCCAGCAATTGCATCAGTGGCCAATGCTCGGCTGCGCGTTTTCGAGCGCATCTATAATCCAGCGGGCGACGGAGATGACGTCGCCCACGTTGCTTGCAGGCGCCTGACCGACAAGGCCTGCGCGGTCGCAGAGTGCCTCCCCCTGCCTGTTCGTCTGTTCTCCGCCTGTCCGCTCGTCTGATCTCGCCCCTCCTGAGGGGGCCCCAGGGGCGATGATTTCGTCCAGAGGGATGCCGTCAGACTGGGAACTGGCAGCGGATCAGGCGGAGTAGGAGGAATGAGGATAAGGAATGGCGGTGACGATTGCAAGTGATGGGCGTGGATGCGGTGAGAGGGTACGGCGGATAAATGATGAGGATACCAGCGAGGATGAGGAGGAGTACGAAAAAATGGTGACAACGCGAGGGTGGGAGGAGGGGGGAGAGGATAGCGAGGGACGAAGAATGAGAACAACGCACGGAGATGACAGGGGGATGCGGGAGGACATGAGGAAGGCGACAAGTAGAAGAAGGTATGGCGACGGAGGGCCGTACGAGAGGAGGATCCTTCATTCGAACCAATTGCCGACTCGGAACGGTTCCCCCATGCCCCCATGTCTGGTTTACATCATTGTCGGGTTTCCTGTCTGGGCTCCTGGGCCACTTTCTGCCGCGACCTCCGTTTCATCAATACCCCCCCTACCCCACTCCCAATTCGAGTCGGCAATCGGTTTGAAATGCAATCCCCGCCGCTCCTTCCCCCCACCCCTTGTTCGCGGTGAACCAGCTGGCACCAGGACCGCCCAGCTAACCCACCGCGCGTGCTAATGTCCGTGGTGTTGTTGTATCGTTTCTTTTCTCTGCTTGCCCCAACCCCTCTCTCGCCTCTCATGTCCTCCTCTTCTTTGGTCTACCTCTTTGTTCTTCATTTGCCACTCTGCGGGGACTTGGTATGTGTTTTCCGTCACTCCTGGGCCCTGCCCTCTTCCTTTAAATATCCACATCGTTCTTTCCACCTTATCATTCCTGTTTTCTCGTCCAAACACCTCCCCCTCCGTCCCTTATCACATAAAAGCACCGTGCCGCGGCTGGGTCTCCCTCTGCAGCGCCATCCGCGTGAGGGGTGCCGACTTGTCGCTCGGGCGTCAGAGGTGTGCATCAGAGTGGTTGCAGTCGGCGTTTCTTGTGTGCTAGATCTGCGTGAGGGGCGTGGCGACTTGAGTCGATGAGGCTTCCAAGCGTGATCATTGGGACTCTTGCTGGATCGTCCTTTTGGGTGCGATCCACACGCGGGGCGTTCGACCTACCTGTCGTCTTCCTTGCGGTTCCGATCGTGGTTTGGTTCGCGTGCCAGTGGCCTCTTCGCTTGGAGTTCCAGGGTTTCAAGAGAACCACTGCGACGACGGCCGAACCTTCAAACGCCAGAGCGCGAACGGACGTTACGGCTACTGGTGCGCCGCGTGGTATGAACAAGAAAATTGTGTTTTTTGTTGGTTCATGTTTTTTTTCGCGATCGGCCGTTGCGTCGGCCCTTGATTGTTTTGCTTTTCCGCTGGATTGTTTTTTGCCTTTGTCCACCGTGTGCTCGGGGCGACGCGGGGGATTGTTCAGTCTGGTTGTTCGGCCGTGTGGCCCTTAGGTCCACATCAACATCACGGGCTAAGTCATGAGGCTTTGGCGCTGTCGTGCAACAGTATCGGAACTTCATGCGAGGCCGATTCGCAATCGGCAGAACCAACTGATCACAAGACGGGTTACCACACAAGGCGATTGGTAAGACGTGTATGGTTTACGAGCTTGGTTACCACACCTTGGGATTAAAGGGCCGAGGGAGTACTCGCAGTTTGGGTTACCACGCCTTGCGATGGATGTGCGTGAGGGGTGGCACCGAATTTCAAAAATGTTGCAAATCCCATGTGTTTTTGGACCCTGACCCCGCG